CAACTCTTATCACAATCCATACATACATCCATTGTGTCAAGCACATTTGTACATTTGTTGCCATCATCATTCTCAAAACATTTGCTTTCTACTTGGGCCCTTGGTATCAGCTCCTCATTTTTTCCCCTCCCTCCCCGCTCCCCTCCCTCACAAACCCTTGATAATTTATAAATTAATATTATTTTGTCCTGTTTTACACTGTCTGGAATTGCTTTCTTAATACCCTTTTCTGATGGCTCTTTTTCTGGTGTGTAGAGAGACACACCTGGTTTCGTATACTGATCTTGTTCAGCCCAAAGCTTTTTATAGCCTGAACACCTTTAGAGCAGCCATATTCTCTCCAGTTTGATATGAACAAAGTTATTTGCCAGGCTTCTTAGGAACCCTGTTGTTTGTTCCTGAGGATTTTATCATCGGGTTATTAATAACCTAAGTAGGCAGTAAATGCTGTTGTTAAACTGATCATATCAGACAGGGTGGAGCAGGGAGGGAATGAGGGCAAGGCACGAAGGGACATGGATCCAGGGAAGAGAGGGTCTTTTCCGCTGCACAGTTGAGAGCTCAGGGTTTGGTTGTCGACGGCCCTGATGTGTATTCATGTTGTAGGAATGAGTGAGAGCGAATCCTGACGCTGAAGCACTGCTGGGAAGGATTGCACTGAGAGGCCGCTGCGGTGACAAGATGCTGTCCAGACCGAAGCCAGGGGAGTCCGAGGGGGATCTCCTGCGCTTCCAGAGTCAGTTTCTTGCAGCTGGCAGAGCCCCGGCAGTACTCTTGGTCAAGAAAGGAAGTAGGAGAGGGGGCGATGCTAGCCTGGACCAGCCCCCGCTGCAGGGTCCCCGGGATGTGGTGCTGTTGGACGGTGAGTACCCATGGGCTGAAGAGGCAGTGAGAGTGCCGCCTCAGGGCTCTCTCTTCCTGCTGTGACTGGCTTCTGCCAGGTCATTATTGTAGACCGGCCTCACCCATGCTGCTGTCACCCATGGTACCTGTGAGGGAACCGGAACTCAGAGGTTACGTGTTAGGCCCAGGTTGACACATCTGGAGCCAGCACCACACGGTGTCTCCCAGCCCTGAGTCCCTTCCTGGGGAGGGAGGCGCATCCTCACGTCTGGTGGTTTGTTTTTGTTCTGTTTCCCTCAGATCTCCCAGATTTACCCCCAGCTCTGGTCCCTGCTCCCCCAAAGAGAGCCCGGCCCAGCCCTGGCTGCCCCCCGCCAGAAGATGAGGACCCCGAGGAGAGGCTTCACAAGCAGGATGAGCACCTCACTGCCGTCCTGACAAAGATCATAGTGCGTCTCTTCCTGGCTGGGGGGACAAGGCACCCGGGAGTGCCAAGGGTGGGGGGTGGAGGAGGACCCTCAGAAAGGAGGACCTTTCCCTTCCTGCAGTCAGGCTAGGAGCTGGGAGAAACGCACTTGTCCTGAGAAGCAGGGTGGGCTCTTGACCCCCTGGAGTGGAGAACGTTGGTCCTAGTGGCCAAAATCCAGGCGGGAAGGTCCCCACGTCTTCACTCCTTTGTGCATTGCGGGTTGCAGGAACGAGACACACGTTCAGTGGCTGTGAAGCTGCCTGTGGCCAGTGGCACTGCCTTCCCCCCCATCTTCCATCGCTCACAGGGTCAGCAGGTAGGAAGAAGTAGCCCTGGATACCGCTCAGGAATGGTCAGGTGAGCCGCATCCACGCATCCTGCCCATGGAGAGTCCTAATGATGACAAGCTCTCCCGCTCCCAAGCAGCCCTTTACTTAGCACTTTAAGCACGTCACCTCATTGGATCCTGGGGGCAGCCTGGTAAGATCGGCGCCATCCCCATTGTCTCAGAAGAGGGGACTCAGCCCCTCAGAGGAGTCCGGCGCTTGCCCAGCACTACAGATCCCCTGGCAGCAAGCCTGGGAAGATCCCAAGTGCCTGATACTGAGAGGCCTGTGTGCCCATTAGAGTTCTACTTTGCTGAAGACCGGGTTGTGGCCCTCAGGTGGAGCCGGGTCCCTTCTGTCTCTTTGTTCGAGAGACCTTGATCTAAAGGGATGGAGGGAGGGTGGGTTCATGAGGATCAGTCACCCAGGTTGTCTTCTTCCCCCTAGGAAAGGCCAGCACTACCTGGTAAACGAAGCATCTTTGCGCAAGAGATTGCAGCGAGGCAGCTGTCTGCAGCCAGGGTTCTAGCCGCTGGGGAAGCTGGGCCTGCCTTGGACTCGCCGGAGGGTGAGCTGGAGCAGAGGGGCGCAGTCTTTCCAGAAGACATGATCAGAGAGTCGCCTTGGCTCTACCTCATCCCTGCCTCTAGTGAGAGGGGCCTGTGAGCCATTTCAGAGGAAGTCCTCCTAGCCTCATTTAGGGTACTTGGTGTGGGAGGCCTGTACCCACTACTTGGATTCAGAGAGGAGACAGCCCGTTCTCTGACCTTGAGATACAAGGAGGGGGAGGGAAGGATGACACTAAGAGCATACGTTGTGGGCCACGATTCCCTTCAGATACAAATGATCCGTATAACTGCTGGAGACCAACATGCTATTGGGGGCCGAATGCTGACTCGACACATAGGAGAAGCATTCGGATCTAGCATTTTCCCAGAGGAGCCCTCACAGAGTCCTGAGGCCACAGTGCCTGGAGCAGCTGACTGCGGAGACCGTGACTGCCTCAGACAGTTGTGTCCAGGTCAAAGGGCGTGAGAGAAGCAGACCCAGGACCCAGCCAGAGCCACGGACTGCCACTGTCCTTTTCCAGGTGCTGTGACTTGGGAAACCCCAGTCCCTGAAGACCAGGGCTGCCGGCTTCCAGGGAGCAGCTGCAACTTCCAGGGACCTCACGTGGTCACAGGGAAGGGGCTCCGGGGCCAGGAGGCTGAGCACGAAGCCCAGACCATCCATGAGGAGAACGTGGCGAGGCTGAGAGCCATGGCTCCCGAGGAGATCCTGCGGGAGCAGCAGCACTTGCTGGCTCAGCTAGGTAGGGCCCGCGCTGGGGAAGGGCTGCATTCCCCGTGTGCTGGGCTCTGCACCGTCTCATTCTCGCCTCAGACTAATCTGGGAGGTGGATGGTGGTGACTTCATTTGACTTAGAAAGAACACTAAGACTCAAGACTTGACGGAATTCTTCCTCCAGGTCACAGTGGCCCCCGGGTCTCTCAGGCTGCTCTCACTCCCTGGGCACCCAATCCTCACTTACCAACCACCTCCTCACCCACCATTTCACATAACAACAGTGGTCCCAAATGGGTTACTCAGGTGGCGACTGTAGGGTTTTCAGTGGCTTGTTTTGAAATAACACCAGGCTTGTTTTCCTGAAGTGCCTCTGGATGGACTCAAGCCCCAGCCTTTCAGTTAGCAGCTGAGCTTATTAGCCACTTGTCCCCACCGGGGCTCCAGTAGGAGCCTTGATGGTTGCGCATTGGGCTGCTAGCACAGGTCAGCAGTTTGAAATCACCAGCCACTCTGAGGGCTTAAACTACTCCTGTATGGATGGAGGCAGAGTCTCAGAGACCCGCAGTGGCAGTTCTGCCTTGTCTTAGAGGGTCACCCCGAGTCAGAATTGGTAGGATGGCAGAGTTTGGTTTGGGAGAGAAGGGCAATGTAATGGGCTGCAGGAACGCAGGCGCTTCCCCGCCTCAATGAAAGTCTCCAGACAGCCTCTTCTCCATCTCCCCCATGGACACCACCGCACCGTGGCGACAGGCTGGCCATCCAGGAAGTGCCAGGTCGGGGACACCCACTCTGGATTCCCAGCTCCTCAGCTGGCGCCCTACAGCTCAAAATTGGTGTTGGGTGGGAAGGAAGGAAAGAAAGGGGCATCTAAGAGGAGATGTGTGTGAGTTTCACAACATCCCCCGTGAGCAGATCTGGGCTGAAGCCAGCCCTGGCTGATGGGGCCGCTTGAGAGTCCAAATTCCAGGTGCCCTCCCAGGAAGGCCCGGGCACCTTGGTGACTCAGTGCCACCTGGTGGCTTGTGTCCTCTGCAACCTCTCTTCCCTGTCCCTGCTTGCCGACAGTGTCAGCACCCAAACTACCTGGTCCCCTCCCGCAGATCAAGCACCCATCTCCCACCCATCAGCCCCAGCCCTTGGAGACCCTGCAGGACAGTGGAACTGCCCCGAGGACTTTAAATCTCGAGAGAAACAGAGGGCGCCATCTTTTCCTTCAGAGCAGCTGTTGCATTTAACCCACTGACCTTTCCTTTTGTAACCTTGTGCCTGAACACTGTGCCACCCACCAGTGTGTTCCTAGCGCCTCTCTAGAGCCTGGCATATTGCAAAGGTTTGGTAAATATTTTTGAATAAATAGCTGTGAGAAAGTGGGGGGAATTGTTCCCCTAAATGCCTTCTCTTTGACCCCAGTCAACATTCACTGTTATTCCATAGCTGTTTACTTTAGCTTCTGACCTGGGGACAGGCATGGGCACTTGGACCAGGTGACTGTGAGCGGTGACAGGAACAGTGGGCAGGCAGGCCTCCGTGACCCCACGGGGTGGAAGAGGCAGGGTCATTGAAGGCCACAGGCAAGCCCAGGAAGTGGGCCAGGGCTGGGCAGCAGCTTGTCCCGGCCTAGGTGCCCACGGGTTTTGGATCCACGGGGCTGGGGAGGGTCTACATACACACACACTCTCTCCTGCTCACTCTTGCTTCCAGATCCCAGCTTGGTTGCCTTCTTGAGATCTCGGAGCAGCCCCCATGAACAAGCAGGAGAGAAGACCCCTGAGGAGCCCAAGGCAGGAGGACCTCCTGACGGCCTCAGGGAGGAGCCCCGCGTGCCTGCTGCTGCCGTGGAGCCCAGGAGGGAAGACGAGCTGACGCCAGGAGCCCCAGGTTAGGACATCTTTGGGGCGTCAAAGCGTCCCGTCTCCTAAGCTTGGCAGTATATCGGAGAGAACCTTCTCAGTCCTTGGACATCTATAACCTTCATCTTCATTATTGGCTTCAAGTCAGTCTTCATTTGCTGATGCTTCTCTTCTTCCTGCACGCGCTTCCTGCTTCCTTATCCTGTTATTGCTCCTTCTCCCTCTGCCCGGACTGGAGAAGAGGCCCCAGGGTGTGATGGCTGCAGGGCCCTGTCCCATCCCCCACAGCCCTGCCTGGCTGTAGCTGCTGGGCCTGGCTCGGTCTAGCCCCGGTTCTTCCCGCCTCTGCTGGCCCGCCTCTAAGGGCCAGCGTGATGGGAGAGGGGCTGTGCTGAGGCAGGACTGATGAACACAGCAGACCAGGAGGAGAAACAGGATCATTTTATTAGTGACTAGCAAGAGAAGAAATGGAATTATGAGGGCCAGGAAGCTCCTGCCCCCCGGAGGAATTGATTGGGTAGGGGTAGGGTAGATGTGAGGATGTGGCAGACATGTGTGTCTGCATCCTACTGCCTGGAAGCAGAGTAGCTGCCCCTCGGTGCCCTACCCGCTGTTCTGAGACTGTAAAGTCCTGGTACTAGAGAGTGGGACTCTATATCTCCCTGTATATGTGGTCTTTTTCTTTTTCTCTGTTGTGTTAGTCTGGGTTAACTAGAGAAACAAAGCCAGAGACACTCGTGTGTAAAAGAGAACTTTATATCAAAGAGAAATTATTAAGAAAACATTCCAGCCCAGTCCAGATCAAGTCCATAAGTCCAATATTAGCCCATATGTCTGGTAGTCCATAAATTCCTCTAGACTCATCCAGCCATTTAATTATGCCAAATTCAGGAAGATCACAGGTCAGTGGGTGGAAAGTCTTGTGAATCCAGTGGCAGTGGAAGTATCTCAGCACTGGCGTGGGTCTCCACGTGGCTCCTCCAGCTCCAGGGCTCTGGCTCCATCAGCTTAGCTCCATGTGGCTTGACAATAGGAATGTCTCTCAGGGAAAGTGTGTGTCCTGCCTTCCCGGGACAAAGACAGGAGTTCCCAGAATCCTCAGAAGAAGGCCATGGCCACACAGAGGCCTCATTGGCTATGACCCAATTGATAGGCAAGACTCCACTCCTTCAACCTATTTAACAAGTTGACATGAAATTATGTAACTACCACATTTGTTCATCCTTCCGTCTTATCCTTTTCTCCACCTCTTCCTCTTGTTTCTCTCAATAAACTTCCTCTTTCTTATTTCTCTCAATAAACTCAGAGTCAGTAAGGGGCTAGAGCCTGGGCCTTGGCAGAGTCCACCCTATCTGACCTGTGTCCAGCTCCCTGGGGTTCTCCCGTTTCTGAGTCCTGGGAGAGATGATTGGAGTTACTGGGTGATGGCTGGGCCCCTCAGTTAATCCTCCCCTGCTCCTCCCCCAGCTCCAGCACTGCCCATCAGCCCTCACAGAGAGTGGCTGCACATGGACACCGTGGAACTGGAAAAGCTCCACTGGACCCAGGACCTGCCCCCCCTCCGGCAGCAGCAAACGAAGGAGGTGAGCTGAGCTGCCAGCGGCCTGAGAGGGGTCAGATGGGCCTGCTGCCCCTGCACCCGGGTCTTTCCTCCCCGAGCCTGGGACATCTCTGCTTTACACTCGCCCATCACCCTTCCTGGCCCTCAAGGCCAGAAGTGCCCCGTTTCCAGAGGCATGGATGCAGTGCCTGAGCCTCGAACAGTCAGGAGTGAAAGGTGAACAGTGGGCATGGGGACTTGGCTGTGACCCCCGGCCTGTCGTCCTCTCCCCCTCAGAGAATGCAGGCCCGATTCAGTCTTCAGGGAGAGTTACTGGCCCCCGATGTGGACCTGCCCACCCACCTGGGTCTGCACCACCATGGAGAGGAGGCAGAGGTGAGACATGGGCCAGGACTGGGCCACTGTTGGCAAGTGCTTTCTACCGCCTTGTGGAAGCGGATCTCCGGCCACCTTGTGCCCGTTGATGGCTGTGCTGTTCATTTATCTTCTCTGGCTCAAACCTTTCCCTCACATCAGAGCTGCCAGTTTTGAGCCTGTCCCCGCCTTGGGCTGTGTCCCGGAGAATAGTATTGCTCCTCTTCTCTGCCTTGGTGCCAGGGCCGCACCTTTCCGTCCCCCAGGGGCTGCCGTGTTGATTTCTGGTGGCCCCACTCAGACCAGGCCTTGCCCTGGAGAGCTTGGCTCACCTTTGCTCACTGAGTGAGACCCTGTACAGGGAGCGTCCTTCCCTCCCTCCCTCCAAGTCCACCTTCTGCTGCCTTCTCCCCAGTGCACCTCCCCTTTGCTGCCTGCCAGCTCATTGAAGCTCCACATGCTCACAGACCAGGCCACGCCCAGAGCCCCCTTCTCTTTCCTATTCTCCAATTACAAATTACATGTGGATGCCTGCGTTCCTCCCCATCTGCCTAATGCAGGGGTGCCTTGAGTGCACATCCTGCAGCCCTAGAAGCCACAGCAGGAGGCAGCTCTTCTTGATCTGTCTCTCCCTGGTACACCTCATCGGCATCTGGCATGTGGGGTGGCTGGATATTGGTTGGGTGGTGCCTAGCACCTTGCCTCCTGACTTGTTGCTTCTGCCCCAGAGAGCAGGGTACTCCCTGCAGGAGCTGTTCCACCTGACCCGAAGCCAGCTGTCCCAGCAGAGAGCACTGGCGCTGCAGGTGCTGGCCCAGGTCATCAGCAGGGTGAGTGGCTGCCCGGCCAGCTGGCCTGGGCCCCGATGAGGGCAGGGCAGACACAGGGTCAAAGGGGGCCTAGTGAGCAGAGGCTCACTCCAGCATGCTCAGCAAGGTATTGTCTTCTGGCCCTCAGGCCCAGGCTGGCGAGTTTGGGGGCCAGCTGGCGGGCAGTGTCCTGCGCCTCCTCCTGGACGCGGGCTTCCTCTTCCTGCTCCGCTTCTCACTGGATGACCGAGTAGACGGGGTCATTGCCGCTGCTGTCCGGGCCATGCGGGCTCTGCTGGTGGCTCCTGGGGATGAGGTATGACAGGGCTGGGATTGGGGGTCTGGGGATGTCAAGGGCCCTGCTCCTGCTGGGCAGACAGGCTGAGGGGAGAGTGGAGGGGCGGCAGCAGCCCTTCTCCAGATGCCCAGAGCCCAGCAGCCCTTTCTTCCCGCTCTGCGGGCAACATCCCCCTGAGCCTGGCTTCCGAGCCCTTCCTCCACCCATCACCTGGCCTGGCCCCACTTCCTGCGTCCCACCGCCCCCTTTTCCTTTGGCAGGAACTCCTAGACAGCACCTTCTCCTGGTATCACGGAGCGTCTGTGTTCCCTCTGATGCCCAGCCAGGAAGACGAGGAGGAGGAGGAGGAAGAGCTCCCGGCAGAAAAAGCAAAAAGGAAGACCCCTGAGGAAAGGGGCCAGCCCCCAGTCGACCTAGCCCGCCAGGACGTCATCAAGGTAAAGGTGCTGAGACCGCTGGCCCCGACCAGCTTCCTTTCCACCACTCCGCCCTCACCCATCACCAACAGCAGTCCAGCACATGTTGGACAGGGAGGTGGGTGCCATTGAGGGCCTGGGCTGGCTACGGTAGACTGGGTCTCTCTGGTCCCCAGGGGCTCCTGGCCACCAACCTGCTGCCTCGGCTGCGCTATGTGCTGGAAGTGACCTGCCCAGGACCGGCTGTGGTCCTTGACATCCTGGCCGTGCTGATCCGCCTGGCCCGCCATTCCCTAGAGTCAGCCACCAAGGTGAGGCAGAGAGTGGGGCAGAGAATGGGCAGAGGGCCTGGCTGGCTGGGCCCCACTGGGCCCTCAGCCTCCTCTCCCCCCACCCCCCCCCCCCCCATCCTCTGCAGGTCCTGGAGTGCCCGAGGCTGGTGGAGACAGTAGTCCAGGAGTTCCTGCCTACCAGCTGGGCCCCTGTCGGGGGTACACCTCTCCCCAGCCTATGCAGAGTGCCCTGTGCTGCCGCCATGAAGCTCGTCCGCGTCCTGGCCTTGGCTGGCAGAAATATCGCCACCCGGCTGGTAAGCGCATGGGACACAGGGCAGTGGGGGTAGGGTGGGCTGGAGCGTGGCCCAGATGCTGCGGGAGCCCCCTGAGTGCCTTTTGCTTTCTCGCTGGGCGGTTGTGTAGAAAAGCAACAGAAGCCAGCAGTTAGGACCCAGTCATGTGGGGCTAGTGGGTCGTGCAGACCCGCCATGTGGTCTCCTTTGGGGAGGGGAGCCAGCAACCTACACAACCAAATAGAGACAGGCGCTAATCAGGAAGCTGCACAACCCCAGAAAAGGTGCCCCATGAGTGCTTGCTAAAGAGGTGGGTGGATGAGTAGGTGGGTGAATGGAAGAGCCCAACCCAGAGAGGTGGCCCAGAGTGGTGAGGGATAGGTTAAACCCAGCTCCTTCCTCGGGGAGCCTGAACAGAGCTGGATCGGTGCCTCCCCTTGGACTCTGACCCTGGGCTCTCTGTCATTGTGTCGTCCCCCCCAGCTGAGCAGCTTTGATCTGCGGAGCCGCCTCTGCCGCTTCCTGGTCGAGACCCCCCAGGCGCTGGCCTTGCCCCCCGAGGAAGCTGAGGCGCTGAGCACTGAGGCCTTCCGCCTGTGGGCTGTGGCCGCAGCTTATGGCCAGGGCGGTGACCTTTACAGGTGAGGACAGGTGGGGAAGGGCCGGTCCAGACCCCTGCCCTTCCAAGGAGGCTTCGAAGAGGGAAGAAAAGGACCCCACGGTCCAAGGAAGGGCCAGGGTCGGGACTAGCCAGGGAGCACCGGGGCCTGGGCGAGAACCACATTCTGTGTCCAAAGAAAGACCTGGAAATGCCTTGTTGAGGGCAGCCTTGAGGGGCTGTCCCTTCCATTCCGGGGTCCAGCCTTACTTCCCTCTTGAAATCCTGTCAGGACCTCATCCCTTCTAGGCCTCCTTAAGCAGAGTACAAATCCCTGGGTGAACTCTAGCTGGGGCCATGCGTGGCCGTGCACGCAGTGACAGTCCGTCACCATTTTCCCCAGGGAGTTATACCCCGTGCTGGTGCAGGCTCTGCAAGTGGTGCCCCAGGAGCTCACCGCCCCGGCCCCCCGGCCCCTGGCCATGCAGCGGATCGCCTCGCTGCTCACACTCCTCACCCAGCTCCCCCTGGCAGCCAGCAGGCAAGTCTGCAGTGGCCAGCCTGCCACAGGGGGAGGGCGACTGGAGCTGTAGGGGGTGAGACCGCCAGCTTCTCACTGTGGCTTGTGGCCCTACCGTAGCGACTCTGCTGAGACCAGCCTGCCAGGCCACCTTTCCTCAATCACGTGGACCCAGGTGTCTGGACTCCGGCCTCTTGTGGAGCCATGTCTAAGACAGACCTTGAAGTTGCTGCCCAGACCTGAGGTGTGGAATGCTCTGGGCCCAGTGCCCACTGCCTGCCTGCTCTTCCTAAGTGCCTACTACCAGGCCTGGAGCCAGCAAGTGAGTGTAACCCCCCCTTCTCCCACCCCGTCCCCCGTCTTTAGCTCTGCACTCCTGCCTTCCCACCTTCCCTACTCCCCACTTTCTCACCCCTCCCTTTCCACCTCAGTGTCCCAAGGGATTTTGGGAGCCCTGTGGTAGGGGCAGAGTGCCCTTAGCAGCAGCAACGTGGCCTCCTGAGAGCCCTAGACACCAAGGGCCACCACCCTCAGAACTGCTCCCTCGAGAAGGTCTGAGAGCAGGAGCTCCACACCGACTCCTTGGGGTTGGGAATCAGAGGCTTGACCTGGGAACCCAGGGGCTCGGCTTGTGTGTGCCCCAGGCCACCACTCCATGAGCCCTTGGTCCCCCAGCCAGGCTTGTGCCCAGGGGACTGGCTCCAGGACATGGAGCACCTGTCGGAGGAGCTGCTGCTGCCCCTGCTGAGCCAGCCCGCTCTGGGCAGCCTGTGGGACTCCCTCAGGTAGGCATGTCTGTCTGTCGGTGAGGGTGAGGGCAGTTTCTGTCCTTGTGGGATGCCTGGGTCCAGCTTCCTGAGGGAAACCTCAGTCCTTGGCAGCAGCAGTCATGGGGCCATGAAGCCAAGTGGCAGGGTAGCACGGAGCGCGGTCCACACTGGGGCCCCTGTGCTTCTGGATGCCAGGGGTTCAAGGACAGACCCCAGAAGTCTGAGCACTGACTGCACGTCCAAGCCCCGCTGGCCTTGGTCACAGACCAGCCAGGTGGTTCTTTCCCAGCCTGGCACACCTGAGGCCAAGTCTCCTGCAGAGAGCTTTCCCAGCGGCCCCCTCGGCCTCTGCGTTCTGCCCACAGGCCCTGCTCCCCTCTCTGCAACCCACAGTCCTGCGTGTCGGCGCCAGAAGCTCTCCCAAGCCTGGTGTCCCTGGGCTGTGCAGGAGGCCGCCCCCCATGCAGCCTGGCGGGCTCAGCCTCACCCTTCCCGTTCCTCACGGCCCTCCTCTGCCTGTGCAACACTGTGTCTCAGGCTCACAAGGGCCTGAGTGGCCGGGTAAGCCCTGGGTGCCTGCCTAGGGACCAGGGAGGGGCCCAGGGGGCAGGAGCCAGCAAGGGGGAGGAAGGAGGCCTCTTCTGCCAGCACCCATTTCTCTGTGTTTGGTCAAGAGGTGGGCCCTCTGGGCTGTGCCTCTCCCTGCCTGGCTGGCCTGGCACACTCGTGCGAGTGTGCTCCTGGGCCACAGGAGGGACCCACGTCAACTTTGAGAACTCAACCAGCTCGCTCTTCCTTCCTCCCTCAGCTGGCTGCCGCTGCATTGGCCCCCTCAGGACTCCAGAACTACTTCCTCCAGTGTGCTGCTCCTAGGACCGCCCCCTGCCTCACTCCATCCTCAATGTGGGCCCTGCGCCAGGAGTCCCACCTGCAGTATCTGGCACTCTCCTTGGCTCAGAGGGCGGTGGGTCCCCTGCACCGCTGCTCCCCTCCTGCCTCGGACCCCCTCCCCGTTCTCCAGATTCTAGAACCTGCACTTCTCCCACCAGACTTGCCCTGGAATCATCCTCAGCTCCTCTGCTCTGACAACCCCGAGCCCCCCTGCCACCCACACTTCCGCAGCCTGAGCTGCTCCTTGCCCTTCTGTCCCCAGGCAGCCCTCCAGCCAGTGCCGGCCCCCGAAGCTGCCCTCCACCATGGTGTGGCCTTGGCCCTGCTGAGCCGGCTTCTGCCCGGAAGTGAGCACCTTGCCCACGAACTGCTGCTGAGCTGCGTGTTCCGGCCAGAGTTCTTCCCGTGAGTCCAGGGTTGGTGGCAGCCCTTGGGCGGAGGGATTCTCTTGTCTTCCACCAATGACACCCTGGCTGAGCCTCAGCGCCCTCTTCAGTTAAGGTGTACGAGGCTGGCCATACACAGTGGGTCTGTGTGGCTGAGAACTAGTCAGGAGCACATGGTAGCGAAACGTGACTGGCATTCCTTTAAGTGTTCCTCTGCACTCAGCATGGGGTAGGTCCCCACCTCACTGAGAGAGAGGCAGTGGAGGCACAGGGAAGCTCTATGCTGGGACCTAGCTAGACGGCTCTCCGTCGCTCACCTCCTACCCACTCTGCGTGGGAGCTGGGAGGAGCCTTGGGGAACCCTGGGAGAGCTGGCAGGTCTCCTGGGTGCTGGGGTTCCAGACCTCACTTTAGACTTTCCGGTGCCGTTACAGGGAACGTGCCTCAGGGGGTCCAGAGGCGGCCGACTTCTCAGACCGCCTCTGCCTCGGGAGCCACAGGGCCCCCAAGTGCGGACGAGGGGCTCTGCTGGCCCAGGCCTGCTGTGACCTGCCCAGCATCCGCAGCTGCTACTTGACCCACTGCTCCCCGACCCGAGCCGGCCTGCTTGCCTCTCAGGCCTTGTACCGAGGGGAGCTCGGACGACGCCCAGCCCTGCTGCTGCCGGCGCCCACCGAGCCGCTGCTGCTCACCGACTGGCCCTTCCTGCCACTGATCCATCTCTACCACCAGGCCTCAGACACACCCTCGGGATGCCCTGCAACTGACACCGTGGGCACAGCCAGGCGGGCCCTGCAGTGGGTACTACTGCTGGAGAATTGGCGGCCCCGGGCCCTCTGGGCTGTGCCTCCTGCTGCCCGCCTGGCACGCCTCATGTGTGTGCTCCTGGTGGACAGTGAGCTGTTCCGAGAGACCTCGATCCAGCAGCTGGTGGCCACCCTCCTGGCCCAGCTCTGCCAGCCCCAAGTCCTGCCCAGCCTCAGGCTGGACTGCCCCCTCCCCGGCCTGGCCTCATTCCCTGACCTCTATGCCAGCTTTCTGGAGCATTTCGAGGCTGTCTCTTTTGGAGACCACCTCTTCGGGGCCCTCGTCCTCCTCCCCCTGCAGCGGCGCTTCAGTGTGACCCTGCGCATCGCCCTCTTTGGGGAGCACGTGGGGGCCTTGCGAGCTCTGGGCCTGCCTCTGACCCAGGTGAGTGCTCTGCCTGGCAGCAGTCCTGAGGGTGGTCTTGGGCAGCGGGGTGCTTTGATGGGTCCCGGAGAGGATTAGTTAGCAGAATCCACAGTATGTGACTTTACAGTAGGTGGTCAAGGCCCTAGCAAGGCCTGGCTGCTTGCTCATAAGGCGCTGCAATCCAGATGAGGAGAGATTTACGAAAATCTGTCCTGGTCCTGACCTGTTCAGGACTCAGAGAGAGGAAAGACCAAAGTGGGCTTCCCGTCGTAAGGAAGTGGAAGTCTGTAGAAGTTTGGGCCCTGACAGCTAAGCTGAGTTTAGATTGTGGAGGAGGAAAGCTGTGCCCAGTGGAACAGCATAAGCAAAGGCTCAGAGGCAGGAAGGCATGGGGCGGGGAAGGAGAAGGCGATGCCTTGAACAAATCTGTTTCACAGCTTGTTGGACCCAAGGCTGAGAAGCAGTCTCGGAGGCTTTAAAATGTCAGATCAAGGGCTTTACATTTGTACACTGTAGAGAACTCGGTGTTTCATTGCTTTTTTCTTTTGCATTTTTTAAAGATTTGGGTTTTTTCGTATTTTAGCTTATTTGACGAACTCAAATATTATAACACTTCAATTCATAGCATGTTCAATATGTAAGTATATAAAATACTTTATGGAATTTGAGAAGATTGCAGTCATCCGTAATCCCACTGCCAAGTGTGATAACCATTGTTAGGTTTTGATTTCGCTTTTTCTTGTCCTCTAAAGGCCATACGTGTTTTGTTTTTTTAAATCATTTTATTGGGGGCTCGTACAGCTCTTATCACAAACCTTACATCCATCCATTGTGTCAAGCACATTTGTACATTTGTTGCCATCATCATTCTCAAAACATTTGCTTTTGCTTTCTACTAGAGCCCTTGGTATCAGCTCCTCAGTTTTTTAATGTTTTTATATTTTTATAAAATTGAGGTCACTTTGAATGTTTGCTTTTCCCATGTCACTGAATATCTTCAGAAATCCCCCTCCTTAAAATTACTGTCTCATCATTGATCGTGTGGTGTGCCCCCATTGATTTAATTGGAACCCCTGGGTGGGCTGCAAGTTGTTTGGGATTTTTCACCGTTTCAAGTGAGACCCTGGTAAAATGCATTGGATATAGACTGTGTGTCCATTTCTCACCTTGTTGGCTAGGTGGGATTAAGAGTAACTCCTTAGGCAGGTCACTGCTGGCCCCAGGAAGCAGAACTTTTGGAATGTTTGGTAATGTAACTGAGCCATGGAAGATGACATTCGGAGAGTTTCCATGTTGAGTAGAAGAAACAAGTAGTAATGGACAGTAGAAACGTGAAGCTGCTTCTCTTGTCACCTGCTTCCCGGCTTCCTAGTCTTTTCCCTTGATCCTGGTCACAGAGAGGGAGGGGGAGCCCAGAATCCGACCCCTCAGGGTTTTGCATCAGATGATCTTCCACCATCCACCCTGCTGTGCCTTGGTGGCACCCTCAGGCCCTCTCGTTCCCTGTCCCAGTTGCCTGTGGCCCTGGAGTGCTACACAGATCCCCCTGAGGACAACCTGGCCCTCCTCCAGCTCTACTTCCGGGCCCTGGTGACTGGTGGGCTGTGTCCACGTTGGTGTCCTGTGCTCTATGTTGTGGCCGTGGCTCATGTCAACAGCTTCATCTTCTCCCAGGACCCAAAGAGCTCAGTGAGTTACAAGGAGGGAGTGGGGGGAGGCATTTGTCACTGTGCTGTCTTTGACTTGGGCCACCGGGGCAACATATGGGCCCCAGCCCACAAGGCCATGCCACCTCTGCCTGTTCCACCTGCAGGGTGAGGTGAAGGCTGTCCGCAGGAGCATGCTGCAGAAAACCTGGCTGCTGCCAGATGAGGTAGGGGCACGTCCCAGAGGAGAGCCACTAGAGAGCTCGAGGGTCCTAGTGGGTGGAGGTGCAGGGGCTCTCACTCACTCTTCTCTTCGTAACTTTCTTTCCTCTTTACAGGGTCTCCGGCAGCACATCCTCTACTATAAGCACCCCAATTCAGCCCTCCCGGAGGGCTTTGAGCTGTACTCTCCGTTGCCCCCTCTACGCCAGCAGCACCTGCAGGGGCTTCTCTCAGGGGTGCTAGAAACCTAGTGTAGTTGCTGCTCGTGGAGTGAGACATGGAGACACTCATTCACCCCAACACCTCACCTAGCCCGACGAGGCCTCGCAGGGGCAGGGGCAGGGGACGGAGGGGCAGAAGGCTCGCCTCCCGAGGAGCACGAGGTTTGAGCAGCTTTGGGACAGAGTGAGCCCCACCATGATGTCCTGGTGTCGAGTTCAGGCTCCTCTCAGCGCTTGTTCTGGGTGTGAAGGATGTGTCCTTGGGCACAGGACGGACTACACAACTTTCCCGAATCAGGATAAGCATGTTACAGCTGTGCTTGGAAATAAAGTTTAAAATGCTTTTTATGTCCTGGGACTCTCACTTGGACTGACTTCAGACGTGTTGGTGTGGAATTGGTATGGAAGGATGGGTTTTCCCAAGGGAGAGCCAGGGGAAAAGTCAGGAGCGGGAAGGGACAACTCTCCGAATCTGGGGCCGGCACAAACAGATCCCAGTTCCCAGGGAAAGCCAGACCAGGGCCATGCTCTTGGGAATGGGGCCACTTCTGGACGGACTCTCTCAGCAGCCAAGAGAAGTATATCCAAAATCCCTGCCATCACCTTACATAGGATTTCTGAGATTTCTCCCCTAAATCTTTAGGGGAGCAGACAGCCTCACTGTTCTTCCTAGAGCAGCTGATGGGTTTGAACTACTGACTTTGTGGTTAGCAGCCCAGAACATAGCCTGCAGCACCACCAAAGCTCCTTGAATGAGTTCAACATCTAGTCTCCTTATGTCCATCAGCTAATAGCCAGAGACCTGGAGAAGCCCAAAACCAACCTGGGCTCCTCACCATCCTGCACCGTCCCAGCCAATGTCGACTTTACTGGTGGTAGGCGAGAGCTGAGGAGTGGGTCATCCCTGGTCTATCGAGTTTCTGTTGTCCATGTCCTGGCATGGAGATCTTAGGGTGTTATTGGTTGTGTGGAATTAAGCCTCATCATCAGATTTGCAGATCATCCAGGTAAGTGTGCCAGGCCTGGCCCTGTCGGTAGGTAGAGACCCCACGCCCATAAATGGGGCTGCTAAACAATGATCTAATTAGGCTTTAATAAGCAATCACTGTATCTATGAAAGGCCTGATTCCAAGATAGCAGCCAGTGGACACGCCATAGCATAGAGTTTTACACACCGGTCACCAGGAGTCAGAAGTGACTTCATGTAAAATGTGACTTCACAACAGTTCTCACACTGGAGGGCTGTGTTACACACACTGCTGCCTCCATTCCCACCCAGTTGCTGTAAATCAGGCTGAAGCCGGTGAACTTGTATTTCAACCAAGTTCCCAGGGAATGCAGATGTCCCTGAACCCACCGTACTTTGAGAACCATGTGGTCTACAGCAACCTTGCAGAGTAGATCCTGTGACCTCATTGTGAGAGAGCTACAAAGTTAACTAGGATGTAGGTGCCAGAGTTTTAATAAAATCACTAGATGTAGTAGCTACCTCTAGTACAATATACTCAAATTTTACCAAGTTGCTAATCATGGGGTGGTTTTTTTTTTTGCTTTATATTAAACACAGTCCTTTAAAATTAGAAGTGTGACACAATTGAAGGTTTGGATTTAAGTTGTAGAATAAAATTCACACAACAGCCCCTTACAGAAGGGTCACAAGGAGATGAGCCAGTCAGGGTGCAGTATAGCACCAATGAAACACAACTTTCTCTAGTTGTGTTTATGCTTCTTTAATGCTTCCTTTCCCACTATCATGACCCCAATTCAACCTCACAAATCTGGCTAGAACAAAGCATGTATACGGGTACTGGTAAGAGCTGGAAACAGGGAATCCAGGACAGACAAACCCCTCAGGACCAATAAAGAAAGTAGTGATACCAGGAGGGGAAGGGGAAGGTGGTGCAGAAGGGGAATCGATCTCAATGATTGGTAATAACCCCCTCCTTGTGGGACAGACAAGTGGGTGAAGGGAGACGTCAGTGTGAGACATGAAAACATAATTTATAAACTATCGAGTTCACAAGGGAGGGTAAAAATGAGCTGATACCAAGGGCTCAAGTAGAAAATGTTTTGAAAATGATGGCAACAAATGTGCTTGACAATGGATGGACATATGGATTGTGTTAGCTATATGGGCCCCCAATGAAATGATTTTTTTTAAAAATCACAACAGACTACTGGCCCGCTAGAGATCAGAGGAACCCCTGAGAGGGGCAGCCCTGGAGCCCCTACACACACACACACTCCTTTCAGATGGGCTGTGAGGAATGTGGGTGCAGCATCTGCCCAGAAGCAAAGATGTGAAGACAGGAAGGGGCAGAGAAACCCCAGGAATGGAAACAACCCCGTGGAAAGGGGAAGAATGCTGAGACTTGCAGCCCAAGGTTGTGGAACAACTTGTATGAACTATTGAATGGAAAACACTTGTTACTTAACATTTTCACCTCAAGTACAATAAAGTGTTCCCCACCAAAATGTATCATGAGCAAGAGATTGAGGAGCCAAGAGAGGCAGCAGCTTGAAGTAGTCTCCAGTTATAGGGTGCCTTGTGGTTCCCAGAGCAGCCCCCCCACCCTCCCCGGCTGTGACCACAGTAGGTGAGGCCCACCCAGTGCACTGGCTAGGGGTTAGCACTAGCTCTTGGCTACCCCACAACTGGTCTAGCCTAGCCTTTCGTAACAAAACAAGAAGTTGTGCAAAGAAATTGCAGCAGCAATTCAGGTTTCTGAGGGCTTTGGCTGTTTCAGGCAAGGCACTGGAGTCCCTAACTTGGGGCAGTTTGGTCCTGCCTGGTCTTGGAGAATCTCGAAGTCAGTCCATGCGGGCACCTGGGGTGTGGCTCTTTCTCTAGCTCCATCTTCAAAAGGATGGGGGCACACCTCCTCGCCCCCCACCTCTAGCCCATCCTTGGGACAGCCAATAGTCATAGCCAGCCCAATGGCTGGGGACCCAGCCAGTCGGTAACTCCAGAAGGCTCCCTCTTGAAGCCTCAGCCTTCCCACCAGGCCCTTCCCACTTTCAGCTTTGGGGCTGGAGGTGGGCGTGGCTGGGGCGGCCTGGGGATGCTGAGGGTCGAGACTCCGCGCCGGAGCGCGGCGGAGACCCAGTGGCCCTGTGAGTCGGCTGCCGCAGCTGGAGCGGACGGTGTGCAGTCCTGGCCGAGAGCTGGAGCTCGGAACCGCGCAGGTGGGTTGAGGAACCACCTGGCAAGAGGCACCATCCTAGGCTAACCGGACAGCTGTGGCGCCCGACCTGGACTCCTGGAGGCTTGGATCCGCGTAGCCACAGTTCCGCGTCGGTGCACCTGGAGTCCAGGCGCCGAAACCCAGCGGGCGCCGGACTGAATCAGGATCCCCTGGGAGTGCTCTCGGGGGAGAAGCAGGCACCCTCAGGGACTCAGCCACCAGAGCTGAGTGGCGGCCGCCTCACTAGGGCGAGCGTGTGGACTGGCTGGGTGGCGGTAAGGGCGTGGCTGCGAGTGGGAGGGCTAGGAGTGTGGGTGTCTATCACTGTACACCTGCCCCCTGCCGTCCCCCGCCCCCAACACTCCAGGCGCCTTTCTTTGCTCCAGCTTGGGGCTCCAGGCAACTTTGGTGCCATCCTCGTCCCCGACGCAGCCAGCTCCAGACCCCTGGGACCCGGAGGTCCCCGCCCCTGGGTCGCCTCGCCCCTGGGTCCCCGCAGCCTAGCTGCGGGCTCCTCGCTTGTGCAGTGCTCACTCGACTCAGAAGTCGCGGCCGGAACGGCGGGACCCAGCCTCCCTGGGGGCTTCCAGACTCTGGTGGGTCCCCACGGTCTCCACCAGCGCAGCCTGCAGTCGCAAGCAGCGGCGGGG